AAAACACAAAGCACTAACACCTTCATAAATGACCCTCTGTTTTTTCTTTCCAATTCTAACATACTTGGCAACAGGTTGTGCAAGATCAATTTGGACACACACCCTTGCATACTGGCCCCTAATGTGGTGTGCAGTATAAGCATCAACCCTGAGCAGAGGGCCTACCTTATTCCCAATCTTCTGTAGGATCGTAGTAGTCGGCTGAAAGATTAGGAAGTCTAGCCCAAACAGCTGTGGTGGTAGTAGTGCGAATAGCCTCTTCCGAATCAAAGTTAGGTTCCCACCTCCTCATGGTAAGGTAGTAAGGGCCAATGAACCACGGACCCCCCATAATAACTTTGCTCAGATCCTCATTGTCCTGAAATCGAACAAGAAAAAAGTCAAAACCAAGATCAATGAAATCCCACTTACCATTCGGTTTCCATTGAGCTTGGACTCTAGGTAAAACATAATTGTAGCCCAAAGGTTTAGGATGGAAAGCTTTGATAATGATAGCATTCATCCATGGTTCTTAGATTCTCCGTTTTTCTGTTCTTGATAATAAGACGATCGGAGTGTCATCCTCTAGATCATCATCAACATCTGATTCTTCATCCATATAATTGGGTATGGTATTAAAGGGGAGTATAGCTAGGTTCTCTTCCCCCATGAGTTTATCCTTGTAGGATAAAGGGTTTTGTGTTTGATGGACCGGTGATGTTGCTGGTATTTGTGATTCAGACATTGGAGTGTCTTGTTGTTCCTCATCTACACTATGGATAGTCATCGCCACATCCTCAATAGACGAATTTGATGGCTCACCATTCAGAGGAGTGTCTCCCCTTCGTGAGCTCTCTGTAGAAGCATTTGTTTCAGATTCTTTGATCTTCTTAATACTCCGATCAAGCAGATTAGTTTCTTGAACAAAGGGGAAGTTTTCAAACAGAGAGAGTTTTTGTGGGACACTCATATCTGGTAAAGTACTATGCTTCGTCTTTTGCAATTCAAATTCTATTGATAAAAACTCCTTGAAAAGATTCCTGACCTGCTTCAGTGTCAAGAATAGCACCACCCCTGCCTTGAGATGATAGGCAAAAACCCTTTGTAAACGGCCTTAAATCCTTCCCGTCTCACCGTCTTAAACACAGAGAATTGGAGTGAATCATGGTGGCAGAAGTGGGATTGATAGTGTAAGCTAGACGAAATGGATGCTGTGGGCATTGGACAGAGACGGTTTCACCTTGGAGTTGCATATGGACTTTGATGAGATTGAGAGGGTAAGTGGAGCAACATGCAATAGCAAATGCAATCCTGCCTTCGACAAAACCTTCTAGACCCATAGACCCATGTTCTTGGTTAAGGATGTCAATGGGTTCCGTGAAATTGAGAGTCTCTCTCATCTCCATTCCTGTGAAGATTTTTTACAGAAAGTAAAATTTGCCTTCCATTTTTATTTCTCACAAGGAATGGAGATCCCTGTGAGAATCCTCATTCCTCATCAATTGATATTAAAATATAATTTTTTTATATATAATTAATTAATATTCAATTATAATGATTAAAATTCTAAAAATTTAAATACAATTGACTAAAATTCTTTAAATATAAATAAAGATCAATTCAATATAAATAGTTAAATCAATAAACTTATTGATGATGGGTTGGATTAATTTTTACAGGTTGAATTGGTTTGAGTTAGATAAAATTTTATTAAGTTTAATTTTTATTAGTTTAGATTTGGATTTGAATATTAAATTAAATTTAAAATAAAATTAATTTACATATTCTTTTAATTTGTTGCAGGGATGAGAATCCTCACGGCATCTTGTGGGACAAGAAGAATTTTTCATGAAATTTCATGGAAGAAAAATATCCCACTTCCTGTGAAGAAAAATATTTTTCTCCATTCCATCCCTATAGCAGGGATCCCAAGAGACTTTGTGGGATTGAGGCAAATTGTCACCTCAAGAATAGGAATTAGAAAATGTCAAAATAGAGTTGGCATTGAAGACGTGGCGTGGAATAACGGACACGATGGAAGAGAGAGCTCTTAAACTTGAAATGACACGTGCTCTATTTGTAGCTCCGGTCTCCTGCAATCCTAGATTTGATGGGGTGCCCTAGGGCCCAGGCCTTCCCGTGCTTCACTTTGACACTAATCCCACTTCTTTGTTATTTATATTTTTTCAATTTTGCTGCAATGCTGTTGTTTACTCCTTAAAATTAAATCCATATGTTAAGGGTAAGCCCAATCTTTAAGGTGAGTCAATAAATTGGATTAGGTTGAATTGGCTTGGGCTAGCTTGGAATTCAATGACCTAGACGGATTTTCAAGGAGAGTGGATTTTAGGTGGCAGAAGATAAGTTGAGTTCTAGTGTTTGAGTTTGATTTGAAGTAGGAAGTTAAGGGTTTTTAGGAGAAGGATTATTACGGTTTTATTGAAGATAAGAGTGCATAAAAAAACTGCCAACTATCCTATAGAAACTACCTATACGTGGAGTCCCCACTACTTGTTCATGGTGGGAAGAAGGCCGAAAATCATGGAGGAGGCTTCCTAGCATCGAAGAAAAGGAAAACAGGAGGAAAAATGAGTCAAACGGCCTGCCCTACACACACTGCCAAGAGCATATGTTTTTCAAATTTTAGACTACTTTTTTCAGATTTCAACATAGTTTCCATATTAGTTTGCAAGATCTGTTCTTGTTCATAGCTTCAGTTTAGGTTTTTCCATCCTTGTTCATATCTTTCCTCAAAGATTTCAACTTAGGTTAGTTTTTAAGCATTTTGAAGCAGATCAGCCTTGAGAACAGGTTTGCCCCGTTGATTTGGTTAGTTCTTCTTTCTCTTATGACTTCATCTATGTTATTTGTTCATGTAAATAAGTTGAATGCTTTCTGCCTTCTTTTCCTTGTATTTGTTTAATTTCAATTTCCAAATCAAAGTTTAATTTTACAAGTTTCCATATTTCGATTAATTCGTAGTTTTTTCCTTTAGTTTTAGCAACCAAGTAGTTTAGTTATTTTTATTTTAAATCTGTAGGTAATTAGTTTAATTGTTAGGGACTGCGTGGCTAAAATCATTGTCTGTGTTTTTCATATGCTGTTGTGTGCAAATTTAATTTTTGGGCATGTTTCTCTTTCAAATTTTTTATGTTAGTTTAATTGCCTTAGGATATCATGTTTATTTTCAGATTTGTAGTTTTTTTTTTTTTTGTTACACTCCTGTGGTTGTAAAGTCCTTGGAGGTGTCCAAGGCAGTTAGTAACCTATTTTGCATAACTCTACCATTTGTTTTGCAACGTTGTCTGATGGCGCAATTTATTTTACAGACGTTCTTTTCAACTATCTTTTTAGAGGTCAATTGTTGGAAAGGAGAAGGATCATTTGAAAAATCCTATTTTCTTATTTTTAGACAAAGCAAGTGACGTGCTTTATTCCCAAACTCATGTGATTAATGCCGGTTAAGGATTTTTTAGGAAACAGCTTGGTTAAAAATATGAAATTTTAACTTAAAAATTTTATATTTTAATACTAACTCCGGTGGAGGTGAATTTATAAAAAAAATTTATTTTTTTTTTTTTTTATTTTTTTTTCGGTTTTTTAAAAAAAATTCACTCAATTTCGTGGAGAGGCAATTATTCTGCTTTTTTTTTTTTTTTTTTACTTGTTCGTTTTGGTTGAGAATAAGAGCTGGAATAATTGGGCTTTTGACTGTGCTGCTTGAACATTCAAATTAAGGCCCAATGCAGTTAAATAACCAACGTTTCGGAAAATTTTAACCAATCAAGGACTCTGGGCTATGGCTCAAAAAAGACTGGGCTGCTCCTATTATGAGCTGAACTGTACCTAGTATAAGGCTTCCTTTAAGGTTTATACGTTATAATACCGTATAAAAAAATATAAATTTATCATAAATAGTTAATTATAATTAATATTTGATACATTTCTAATAATTTTAATTAATATTTTACTTTTTTTTTTATAGAAAAAGACCAAAAAAAAAAAAAAAAAACTTAAATTCATATCACAACACTTTCAAATGAAGTCTATGCGTAAGTTTCACCAAACGGTTGTGCTTGGGCAAGAACCATTAAGCGGCATAGGCTGATGTGTATATTCTCATTTAAGAATAAAGTTTAATTATGCTATTGAGGATGATTTATAAAAATGGAAATTTTCATAAAATTAATAAAACTAAAAGTATATGTATTGCACTAAGCTAATTACCCAAGTCAACCAATAAATTATGGATCTCTTATTGTTTAGGAGAGTTCTATCTTTTTACATGAATAGTGATATAAAAACAGCCTTTTTATATTATTTTTATATGTTATTAAATGAATAAATATATTTAATATTATAGATTTCAAATAAATAAAAAAAACTAATAAGTTAAATAACACGTAAAATTATACACAAAAATTATCCCTAAATCATTCTCTTTTTTTACCTATGCAACGAAATGATAAATATATAAAGTGAAAGCTCTCTTATTTTTTTAAAGGTTAATTTGGATTAATTATTTAGATGTAATTGATAGACAATAATTGATATTCAACTATTGATACTTATTACTATTTATAATTAAAAGCATTTAATATGTTTAATTCAATTAAAATCAACAACCGGTAATTATTTACAAGTAACTAAAACAAACACCCCTTTAAAATTCTCTTTACCCTCCCTAATGTTTGTTTCTATAAAAACAAAAAACAAAAAACTGTCTTTATATTTAAGTGGTTGCTTGATTTTATGTCCTCCACTAGATATATATATATTTTTTGTTTCTTTTAAAAAAATGTCAAAAAGCAAAAATATTTCTCAGGCAACCTTGGAGAAGTGGAGATGGAGTTCCACCGCCAACGTTAAAAAAAGAAAAAAGAAAAGTCTAAAAACAACACCGCAACATGGCATGGTTTGCAACAGTGGTAACAAAATCATCAAATGAACAAAGGCTCAGCTGTTTCAAAGGAGAAATCCACTCCGCACTCTCCGTTGCCAGAGTTCCCCGCCTGGCAACAAAGATCCAACAATGGCAAAACTCATTTCACGTCCCACCAACCATTCCGCTTTAAACTCTTCTCCCTTTCCTCCCCTTCATCCACTGCCTCTCAATTTTCTCTCAATACAATCAAGAGACCCATTTCTCTTGTCTCTCTCCCTCGCCTCCATGCATCTTTGATTACTGGTGAAATTTTTGAGTGATCTCTAGATGTATCGCTAACATCAAGGAACCCCCATTGCCAATACAAGAAGGGAAAGCTCAAGAAATATGGAGGTTCAGCGGATGAGGCAGTTGATGTTGTTGCTTTTTTCTACAAATCAAAGCACCCGTGTGGCTCTCGTGGGTGGAAATCACACCGCCGCCAGATTCTGCACTCGCTAAGTTCCTCTTTTTGAATCCCCCGCGCCGCCTCCCTCTTCCTCTCGCTGCCTGCCTATCTTCTTTTTCTGGATCCCTACTTTTTGTCTTCTTCCGTCCCCACAATAGAATTGTCGATTTATAGTTCTTAGCTTCCGTTTAGGTTCCAACCAATCAAGAATTTTCAATTTTCCTATAATGGCTATCCAAATTGTTGATGGATTCCGATTCATAAAGCGTCATCGCCAGCAGAAACTGTTCCCTTATGCTCCTGTTGGTTTCCGATTGGATACGTATTTGCTAATCAGGCTCCCTGATTCTAGGGTTTTGAGACTTTTATCTCGATGCTTGCTTTTGTCTTTGATGATTGTTTCGTTTCCTTGGTTAAGATCCGTGAATCTTGCAGCTACAACAGCACTGGACGCCGTTGGCTCTAACCCCCTGAATCTTGAACTCTTACCGTTGCTGTTCCGTGATTTGAACAATGAAGGGCTATTAAAAATTGGAGACAAAGCTCTGTTTGTGAGCAATGGTGGCGAGGATGCTATTTCCACTTCTCAGATCTTGAAGAACAATGAAATGGAATTGGTTTCTGCCATGGATTTTGAAGGGCAGAGCTCCATACCCAATGAGTCCTTTGACTTTACCTTCACTCATAACTTCCACGCTGGGGCGGAATTCATCGACCGCACCCTGAAAGTAGGCGGAATGGCCGTGACCAAACTGGGTGAAGATCCTTCCTTTGTATTCAACAAGCCATCAAATTACAAAATCGTCTACCTGAGGCAATTCGACTCTCCCATTCTAGCAATGAAGAAAGTCGATTATGCTGAAGGAGTCACTTCCCCCACCCAGAGGCGGCTTTTCACATATTCACCCGATAAGAAGAAGGATGCATTGAAGAAACTTGAAGATGTACTGCTTGAACCACCAAGAGCAGCCTCCGGAAGATCAAGTCGTTACCTGAAGAAAACTAGGTACCTACCGGACTTGTTGGGAGACTCACTTGAAAACTACCCTCGCCGTGTGTTTATTGATGTAGGCTCGCCAGAGAAAGATGGTGGCAGTGGCACAAGTTGGTTTGCAAAGAATTATCCGACGAGGAACCTAAAGTTTGACATATACAAGATTGAGACTGTGACAGAGGAGTCCATGGGGAAGGAGGTGCAGCAGGCAGCTGAAATTGGGATGTCGGACTGGATGAGGAAGAACTTGAAGGAGGAAGAGTTCGTGGTGATGAAAACCGAGGCTGAAATGGTGGACGAGATGGTGAAGAGTAAGGCAATTGCATTGGTGGATGAGCTTTTCTTGGACTGCAAGCCAGGAAGGCTAGGTGTTGGTGGGAGAAAGTATATGGGAAAAAGGGCTTATTGGGAATGCTTGGCTCTGTATGGAAGGCTTAAAGATGAAGGTGTTGCTGTGCATCAATGGTGGGGTTGACAGAGGAAGGAAGGAGAAGAAAGAAAAATACTGACTGAGAGAGAGAGAGAGAGAGAGAGAGAGAGAGTGGTGACAATTACAAGCAAAGATTTCTCTTTTTATTTCATCATATACTAAAATAAATGTGTAATTAATGTGTGTGGTTTTGGAATTTATTGAAGATTGAGTTGTCTTGGTATTATGAATTAGAGATCATGAGACTGCATGGATAGAGGATTGAGAGACTATCTTTCATCGCTTAGGTGTTCTATACTATCCCATACAATTCAAATGAAATATGAGGAAATTGAGGAGTCTTCTTTCCATTTCTTTCTCAAAGCATAATTACTTACAAAATAAGAGTATGTTTGGGTTAGTTTCTTGGAATTTCAATTTTAAGATACTATTTATGTTTTATAAATTTAAATTTTTATCTTGAAAACTTATATTTTAAAATTTTTTTAATCTTAAAAAGATCATAAACAGTAAAAATTTAAGAACTTTAAATTTTTATTTTTAATAAACTTTTTTTTCTTCACTTTTTTTTTTATTTTTAAAAGTAATTTTTAAATTTTTCCTTTAATAAAAATTAAAATTTATCACTTATAAACAGTACTAAAAAAACAAAAGTTCCGAGAAGTTGAACCAAACATGCCCCAATTATGGGTTGATAAGATATTTCTGCAGCCTCTGATTCCATCCAAATTACTGTAAATATCTCCGTGATCATCCTCATGTAAGCAAAAGC